GTGGCAGAACAGAATTTGAATATAGGACCTCTGATTTCCAAATCCAGCAATCTTTCCATTATACTATGCTGTTTCCTAATTCTATGATTGTGTGGCCCTTTCCTCAATAGGTAAGTTTTTACTTCCTAATGGATCACCCCTTTCCTGCTCAGACTCAGAAAGGGCCTCAGATTACTGTCAAAGATAGCTTTTTGAATCTGATTTAGACCTTAGGACAATATTCATTCTCTCTTCTGGACTCATAATGATGATGCGCCTAGAAAAAGGTACTGTACTACCTTTACCCATACCAAGGGTTGGGAGTGTAACTTTGAACCTTGGCATTCAACACATCAGAGCTATCAATCAGCTATGTCTCTCACCTTGGTTAATTATAGGGATCATTTTATTATTTGGATAACAGTGAGATAATGTAATTTGGAAGTTTACCTCATAAAATAGAAACATTAACTTGTTTTAGATAAAAAAATTAATGAGCTCAGTGAGGGCAGAGACTATGTCTTATCTGAACATTGTTTTTTCCTCACAACTAAGAACAGGGATGTTTAATAAGTATTTGTTGAATTGAATTAAATTGAGAAATTCATGAGAAATATAGGCTTGTAAAAGCTGGCTTTTTGGTTCTTAAACTAAATATCACTGGGAAACAGCAGGACACCTGGAGAGAGAAACAAGAGGCAGCATGTACCAGGCAAGTCAAGTCTCTGCCACAACCTTGACCACCATCTCCCTTAATGGAGATGGAGACAACCTAGTATCCAAAGCCCAAGAGCCTTGGGAATAGCAATAGTTCCAACCCCATACCCTCAGCTATCATCCTGGAAAGCAACCCCTACAGAGAAGCAGCCACTTCTCTTACAGGTGCTACAAAGTGCCAAAGGCCCAGAATAGCAAATTATTGCCACCAAAGTCCTTGGTATAGTTAAATGGTTCAACATCAGAAACTGATGTAATTTTATCAGTTGGAAATGACATTATGGAAGAGGCATTACCATCTACCTTTCCTTCTAACTTGCAGCTGAAACCTTTCCTATGTATCATCTTCCCCATAAGAATGTGAGCTCCTAAAGAGCAGGAGCTGTCTTACTTTTCTGTTTGTATCACCAATGCTTATCACGGTGATTTGTACATAGTCAAAACTTAATAAATGCTTTATTCATTCATTCATCTTGTTTTGGAAAGACGTCAGGTGTTGAAATTTCAATCAGATTTCTTATAAAGATCATATTTGTAAAAGAATGGCATAGATTTTGGATTACTCTGCATTTGGAATGAGTGAGCCCCACTATATCTCTTGATAAATATTTATGGTGGGCTACGTTTGGCAGATAATTTTCAGTTTTTCGTTACAAAAAAAGGTAATAGACAGCTAGGTGGTACAATGGGTAGAGCACAGAGCCTAGTCAGGAAGACCTGAGATCAAATCCAGTCTTAGATACTTACTGTGTGACTGAGCAAGTCAGTTAAACCCTGTTTGCCCTAGTCTTCTCAACTGTATGATGGGTGTTATAACAACACCTACCTACCAGGGTTGTTGGGCGGATCAAATGAGATATTTCTAAAGTGCTTAGCATAGTACCTGGCACATAGTTGGTGCTATATAAATGATTTTTCTCTTCCCCCTTTCCTTCCCTTTCAAAGACTATGGAGTAGTGTCAAGAATGTTAGATTGTACATCAAAGGGCCAAGGTTCAAAATCTAGTTCTGCTGTTTACTACCTTACAGGGTGACCCAGAAGTCTTTATGCCCTTTTAAGCTATTAATACTTAAATCACCACTAAGACTTTTAGGACATACCATATATGGCCTTAGGAATGTCTCTTAATTGCTTTGGAATTTACTTTCATCATCCATAAAATGAAGGGTTTGGACTAGATAACTTTTAAGGTCACTAGCAGCTCTAAGTCTATGGATCTTCATAGCTGAAATTTAGGGAAGTTAATCTCTGTCCTATAGGATTGTCTTTAATTTGCTTCTGTCTCCCTAAGCAAGTACACATATTCCCATAGACAGAAATCCTTAAAGTGTTACTATCAAAGACAGTGGCTGCTTGGTGAATTTGACCAGCATCTGTATATGCAATTCCTTCAAAACCCCTACGTCCCCATGAATGGCATTAAGCCTTTAGACATATGAAGTCTTTACTTTAGACATATAAATCACCACTGCAAAACATATACCATCTAGAGACATCATTGACTAAAAGAAAGACTTCATGTTCACCAAAATACTTACAGCAGCACTTTTGTGATAGCAAATAACTGGAAACAAAGTGGATGTCCATCAGTTGGGGAATGGCTAAACAAACTTGTGTTAATGGAATATTACCATGCTTTAAGAATTGATGAATATAATATACACAGAGCAGCTTGGAAAGACTCACATGAATAGGTGCAAAGTTATAAGCAGAGGCAGGGAAACATACATAGTGACCGAAATATCAAAAACAAACCATGTTTCAAAAGTATAAAAAAGTAATCTTGGCTCCAAAGAAGAGATTGAAAGGATACCTCCCCCTTGCTCCTTGGCAGAGATGGAGGTTCATGGGCCTGAAATATTACATGTAACAGCACATTTTTTTCCCCATATGTTGACTGGCTTAGTTCAATTTTAAAAAATTCTGTTGCAAGGAATAGCTCTCCAAGAAGGCAGAGAGAAAGGTGAAGGGTAAAGGGAAATATTTAAATAGTGTAAAAACAAATTATACCAATATAAATATCATAGGAAAAAATAAATGTGGAAACCTGGAAGGGATCATAGGACAAAAGATTCGGAGCTAGACTGGTTCTTGGAGGTCGTCTGGTCCAGCCCTTTATTTTACAGATGAGGAAACTGAAGCCAAGAGAGGGTTTCTAACCTGCCCAAAGCCACACTGGTAGAAAGCTGGAGATCTGGGACTCAAAGTCAGGTCAGCTGACTCCACAGTCAGTGCTCTTTTCATTGCACCACAGCTGCCTCCAAGGGACCGTCAACAATTTCATGGCCATGTGAACAAACGTATAAATAAAATATACTTTGAAGCTTTCGCTGAGTAATATCTTTGTGCTTTGATTTTGCTGATGAAAGTTATGTTAAGGGTTTACTTTGGTATAAAATGAAATTAAGTAATTTCGCCTTTGTCATTTATGCTCCATAAAATGATGATCCTGACAAATAAAAGTCGTTAAGAGACGAAAAAGAAAATGAAACATCTATACATACTGAGAGTTTCCACCAATAGTACATTCATTCGGTACCTTGGGCCTCTGATCTGGTCTTTTCCCAAAAAATGAATTCAGTTTGTCCCAAAATGTAAACATAGAATCCAGTTGGGTTGTAAACATGCCAACCACTTCTTATAAATGACTAAGCTGGGAGTGCAGTGAACTTGAGGGCTCAGAGGAAACATGTCTCTGGAATTCCTCACAGATGGGCCACAGTCTATCTTGACATTACAGAATAAGATTAAAGAGAAGAAACTCCCGAATTCTCCTCTCCTGCTCGTTATTCAGCATAATTAAGTGTGTGCCTTTTGAAGGGTAGGGAATAAACAAATAAGTTATGGCATTTACTTCACAGTCTCTGGCCAAACTTTGGGTTAATGAAAACAATCCTTTCACCTAAGCCAGGGAGTGGGTTTTTTGATTTTTAAAATCAGCTTGTGACTCCCACGCGAGAAAGAGGCTTCTTTGAGAAAGCTAAGGACCAGGAATAAAAAATTAATTTTCCTTTTATTCTGGCTGGTGGTCACTTTCCCCTCATGACCATGTTCCCTTCAGAATTCAAAGTCCGGTGGTTAGGTGGTACAGTGGGCAGAGCTCAGGCCTTGAAGTTGGGAGGACTTGAGTTCAAATCCAGCCTCAGACCCTTGACACTTACTAGCTGTGTGATCCTGGACAAGTCACTTAACCTCAATTGCCTAAAAAACAAAACAAAACAAAAACAAACAAACAAACAGAATTCAAAGTCCAATAGAAAGGAATATTTATCCTAAAGAAGACGTAAAGGTGGGAGTCAGGACAGGAATGATAAGAAAGAAGTTATACAAAGTTGTCCAGAGTGAGTAATGTGTACAAGCAATGACTGGATGGACACCTGTGCAGTGGATGTGATTCATTCTTTACAAAGAGGATTGGATTCTAAGTCAGTGCCCTCTCAGGTCCCTTTCAGCTTGATAAGTCTATGAGTTTGTGAGAGCTTTCTATATCTGTGATTCTGAGCTTCAACTGACCAAGACCATGGGTACTTGTGCTGTATGTAGCTAACTCAAAAACAAGGCAAAAGTCCGTAGCTGCAGAGGGAAAGCTGACTTTCACCTTCACCTCCTTCAGACTATTGAGAGAAGAGAACCCAATAATGCACTTGGCTGATCACATCACTCCCTTGTTCAAAAACCATTGGTGAGTCATTATCATATCTAGAATAACATACAAACTTCTTAGCTTGGTGTTTTAGGTTCTCTGCAATTTGGCTGTAATCCACTTTTCCAACCATGTTTCACATTATTCCTTTTCTGACACTCTGCATTCTAGTCAAACTGATTGAACTGACTATTCTCTGAACTCTGACATTCCATCTCCCTTTCTGCATTTGGGCAATTTGTCTCTCATTCCTGGAATGCACTCCCCTCTTCATTTCTGCTTGATGAAATCCATCTTTTCCTTTAAGATCAAGCTCAGGTGCCACCTTCTCTGGGAAGCCTTCCCCATAGCCCCAGGTGAAAAGATTCTCTCTTTAAATTTTTCCAGATAATTTTTTCTGACTTTGTCTCCATCACTGTGTCTCTGGTATTCTTCCAGTCTTCATACATGTTATATCCCACCCTGCCACCACTACCATTAAATGGTAAATTCCTTGAAGGTCAAGGACTGTGCTGTTTTTCATCTTTGCATCTTAGGCACTTAGCATAGTGATTTGTATGTAATAGGTAATTAATAAGCGTTTATTAAACTGAATTATTGAGAGAGGAATTCTTAAATAAATAGCTATATCTACCTTCCAAGATGATTTGTTGGTCTTACCGTTTCTAATGGTAAAGCTATGTAACAAGGCCAAACCATCAAACCAATGATTATATGTAGTCTCCCCAATGGTGTGCATGCCAGGGCCATTCCGTAGGAGAGTCCCATGAAGCCAAGTTGGCAGCTCACCTAGAGTTAGAAGAAAAAATTTACATTCATTTTTGAGATTAGAACTGAGCCACTGAAGGAAGTGTAACATGAACAGAAGTCATACAGCCCCAAATGTGTAAAATCCAGAACACCAGAAATGAGTGTTTCATAGGTGGAGACTGGTTTTCACTAGGTACTGTTAGCGTATCAAAATTAAGTCTGTTCTGCACCCCAACAATTTTTATGCCTGTAGTGAGAAGCATAAAATAAAATAAAAAGGACTAGATTATCAATTACCACACTCTATTCTTATTGTTGAAAGATAATTGATTAGTTAGGGAACATAGGATTATAGAGTTAGAGCTAGGAAGAAACTTAAAGGTTATCTAGTTCAGCCCCCTCCACTTTACAGATGAGGAAACTGAAGCCTAGAGATGTTAGATGATTGGTAATCAGGTGGCAGAGTGAAAAGAATGATAGACTTGAAGTCAGGAAAACCTGAGTTCAAATCCTGCCTCTGGCACTTACTAGAATCTCCTTGGACATCTTTAAAAATAAAATCTGTCAGTATTACCTATGTGATCCTATACAAGTCATTTAACATCTCTCAGCCTCAGTTTCATCATGTGTAAAGTAAGAATAATAATAGCACCTACCTCACAGGGTTGTTGTGAGGATGGAATAAATAATATTTGTAAAGCATGCTCAGGCAAAACTAGGGAGTTTTGTAGCTGAACCAGATTAAAATATAATTAGGAAATGTTTAATAAAATAAATAAAAATACAACATAGATAATGTTAATTTATATTTTTCTAAGTTAATATGTGACCCTTCCCCCCTTCCCATTTGAGTTCAACTCTACTGAATGGAAAGTATATTGCTTAAGGAATGGAAAGCATTTTGCAAACCCTAGCATATTATCATGATTGTTATTATTATTGCCCAAGATCACATAGGTAGCCTTGACAGGTCTTATTTTGAAAGAAGATTCTCCAATCTCTAAACACTAGTTACAAGCCAGTCCTTCTTTCATTATGTTCCTTACTGGTAGTAATGACAACCAAGCCAACTACTACCATGCCAACATGCAGAGGGCCAAAACCTCCCTCTGTCTCACTCATGTTCTGGAGCCAAAGATAATACATGAGCTATTCTCATCATTGGATATAATTATGCTGCTGCCTCCCAGGTTTGACTGACACTGACTTACTTAGGTACCTGTCTGGTAATTTAGAATTAGCTACTTTCCCCAACAGCCTAAGGGATATACAATAAAAGTGGCAGCAACCAGAGAGATCATAACGAAAGGCCTGAACTGAACCCAATTCATCAATCAGTTAAATGCCTACTATGCCCAGTGCTGTGCTAAAGGATGGAGGGAATAAAGCATGAAGTCTAGTAAGGGGTGTTCACCTTCAAGAAGAATGAGTAGATGTGTATGACTGTATGAACTGTATACAAATATGTGAAAGTACATATATGGATAAATAAAGGTGTTTATATTTGCGAGTATATGTATAGGTTTGTATGCATTTAGGGGTTTGTGAGCATGTTCCTAGCCCATTCTCCCTCAGACTTTCTTATCCTCAGTTTGCCCAAAGGTTTCATCCATCCGAGACAGCCCAAGTTTTCCACCAGATCTACCACTTCTTACCTTTAATTTTGGCTCTCAAAGGCTCTGGCTGTTCCTTCTTGTTCTTGCCAAAGATCATATCCATGGCAGGGCAGAGAATGTATTGCTGCTGTCCTGATGAGTAACAACAATGACAATGTAATTAGAGGAAGGAGAAATGTACTGGAAAGATAGCTTTTTCAGCCTCTCGCCCTCCCTTTTTCTCCCTTTTTCCTTCCCTGTGAGAGCTCTTCCAAGCTCTGTCTTCCTGCCCCCCTTGCTTCTCTCTTTTTATCTGGCCCTTCTCCTTCACAAGTGCCTTTATCTCTCTTTCTGCACACACACACTCTTTATTTATAAAAGGTCTTGACCAAAGGTCAATTGCGTGTCACTCTGTGCTACCAGATCTTTACTGCTCTATGCCCTGCATTTTGTCATCAAACTAGTTTCTTTCAGGAATGAAACTCAGTGGTATAGGAGAGTGCAGAGAGAAACCAAGCTATTGGGGTTTAATCGTGCTGGTAGGAGATTTCAACACCAAGTTGTCCTTGCTTACACACACAAAGTACAAGGGCTAAGACTTTTGGGATGGTGATCCTGAAGGGGATGGAATTTAGGAAGCCCTGGAGGAGACTTGGTGTAGCACATCATTCGAGTCATTAATCCCATGTCATTCCTTCTGGCAGCAGGATATCACAGCATTAGCTGGGAAATAAAAAAAAAAATAGAGCCAGGGTTCTTAATTTGGGGTACACAGACTTGGGGTCTATGAATATATTTTAGGTCTATGAACTTGGATAGGAAAAAAAACCTTTTTTTTGTTAGCCTCTAACTGAAATTTAGTATTTCCTTCAATTATTTAAAAACATTCTAAGAAGGGGTCCATAGGCTTCACTTAACTGCCAAAGGAGAACCCCTGCTATAGAAAGTCCCTGTCTCAGAAAAAAAAAAAAGCAACTCAGGGCCATTGAATACAAAGCACAGTCGCTTTTTCTTTTAGAGAGAAACCTAAAACTTTTTACTTGTTCACTTTTAGAATTAAAACAGAAAATAACCTGTTCTATTAGGACGGTAAAAAATGGAAACTTTTCAGTTCTTACGGCCAATTAGCAAAGAAAGGCAGAAGGTAGAAGGAGAGAGGAGGGAAAATCAAGAGAAAGATGACTGAACCTGGGAAAAACAGGAAGGGAAAGAAAGAACGAAAACCATAGACAGTAGAAAGAGAGTCACATGTAGAAGTACTTAAGAGAAGATGTGGAGTACCCAGATCAGGTGGTCCCTCTGTAGGTGAAAGTGGTTTTGGTCAAGGACAGAACCATAACGTGCAAGGATTTCACCCTTATAGAAGATAATCTGGGCTAAAAATCAGGGTATTTTGATCACAATAGGATTCTGTCCCAATTCTATCCCAAATGAAACCTGGAATTCCAAATCTGTGAATTTGTGGCAATCAGGTACCTGATGGAGAACAACTTAATAAATCATTTGAGGGGGGTATGAGGACATGGAGAAGGAACAAATGGCTTTTGAAGTGGTGGGTATTTGGATTATGGTTTTAAAATATATTTCTTTGTGCCTAGCAGGACTGATAAGATAAAACACCACTGGTTCAAAAAAATTGTTTTGAAAAAGATGTGGGAAAGATTGACAAAAATAATGATGGAACTAACTAATGTGGTTATTAAGGACATTTTCAATGTTAAAATTGTAAAGCTTTTAGGTTTTTTTGATGTTTAAAGTTAATCACATAAATTATTGTTAAAAATAAAGGAAGAGAGCATTGGGTAGTCAGCTTATCAGGTTTGGCCTCATAGGGTACTTGTTTCTTGGTGAGGTCACCACTGGTCTATCAAAGATCTTTTTGTCTCTGTATTCTGAAACTTAATTTTGTCAGTTTACTCAGGAGTGATTGAGCTCTGAGGAACGTAGTGATTCATGAGGAACAAATACCAATTCCAATGCATTAGTTTACAAAGGCAAATCAATGTATTGGGAGAGCCCTGGATTTGGATTCCAAGGACCTAGGTTGGAATCCTGTCTCTGCCACTTTATATGCCTTCCCAGGTTCGAACTTCAGTTTCTAGAAATAGAAAAAGGATGTGGTAAATTTAGGTAATCTCTAAGGGCCCTCCCAACTCAAAATCCTATGAGGTCCTTATGACAACCCCTTGAGTCTGAGCCTAGATGTCATTGCAATACCAGATATACAGTAGAAAGATCTCTAGAGTTTTCATACTCTGGAGTTGAAGTCTTGGGTTCAAACTCTGCTTCTAATTCTGCCTGTATGACTTTGAGTAAGTCATTTAGCCGCTTTAACCTCAGTTTACTCATCCATAAGTCAACAAACATTTATTAAGCTCTTACTTTGCTCCAGGCATGGCACTAAGAGCTGGGGATGCAAAGGAAGGCAAAAGACAGTCTCTGCCCTCAGGGAGTTCATAGTCTAATGGGGAAGAAAAGATGTGAACAACCATGTACAAACAAGATAGATACAGGATAAATTGGAGATAACCAACAGAGGGAAGAAATTAGCCTTAAAGGGGATTAGGAAAGGCTTCTTAGAGGTGAGATTTTTTATGGGATTTGAAGAAAGCCAGGAGAAGGAGATGAATAAAGAGAGTATCCCAGGCATGGTGGACAATAATGGTAGCTAGCTTTTATTTAGCACTTCTTTACATTTGTTGTCTTCATAAAAATCTCGGGAGATAGGGGTTATTATTATCCCTTTTTTACTAATGAGGACACTGAGGCTGAGAGAGTCACACAGCTAGCAAGTATCTTGGGCAGGATTCAAACTGAGGTCTTCCTGACTCTATGTCCAACACTCTATCCATGGCGCCATCCATGTGCATAGTGAGGAGGATGGATTTGGTGTTTGAGGTCTCTCCCCACTTTAGATTTATGATTCTATGATATTCCTATTATACTATATTCCAATGACCAGATGCTCATAACCACTTTCCAAGTTTTCCTCTTCTTGGTATCAAGGTAATTTGGGAAATCATATTAGTCATCAGAAAGTTGCTTGGTGAGTCAATACAAGGTCATCAGATGGTTTCATGCAAGCTATGGTAGAGCCTGGAGTGGAATACCTGTTCCAACATAATCAGTGCCATAACAAGGGCGAGGCAAATGAAGTGCTTGCCTTGGGCACCCAAAGCAGAGAAAATTATATGAAATATGAATGTACCCAAAGATGCTCAATGAAAAATCCATAAAAATACATATCCACTACCCAAAGTACTTTGTGCTATTATACATAGAGGTGTAATTTTGTATTCTTGCTTAAAGAACAAAATTAGATACTTATGAATCTGACCTAAGGCCACACGTTCTAATGACAAGATCCTGCTATCTGCCAGATATGCCATCTCTCTTGCTTGCTCAATGCTGGGAGAATACAAGACATTCTTATTGTTGAGCTTTCCTTTTTCACTATTGTGGGATAGTGGAAAGAGTACTAATTTTGGAGTCAGGGGACCTAGGTTCAAATCCTGCCTCTGATGCATACTTGAACTCCTTGGGTTTTAGTTTCCTCATTTGTAAAAGGAGAGGGTTGAACTAGATAACCTTGGAGCCTGCCCAAGATACATTTGAGCTGCCAGCTCTACATCTATGCTTCTAGGATTCCCACTGGTCACCAAAGCTTTCTGCCATTAAAGCACTTTGACACAAAGCTGGGAGGATAGGATGAGAGAGCAGAGATCCTGAAAGATCTTGACAAATTAGAGCATTGGAATTAACTAATAAGATAAAATGCAATAGAGATGATTTTTAAATATTATATTTGCATAAAAAACCCAACTTCACAAGTACAAGAATGGGTAGCCTATGATTAGGCCGGAGATTGTCTGACGCAGTAGTGAACCACAGCTCAATATAAGGCAGCGGTGTGATGTGGCAGTCAAAAAAAGTGAATTTAATACTTGGCTATATTAAAAGAGGCAGGGAATCTAGCAATAGGGAGGTGATAGTTCCACTATTTCCTACTTTCATTAGACCTCATCTGGAATACTGAGTTGAGCTCTAGGTGCCAGTTTATGAAGGACATTGATAAGCTAGAAAGTATCCAAAGGAAGGTAGCCAGGGCCTTGATTCCATGTCATTTGAGGATCATTTGAAAAAACTAAGCATGTTTAGTCTGAACAAGAGAAGACTAGAAGATCCATAGAGCTGTCTTCATCATTTGAAGGGCTGTCACTTGTTCTTTCTGGTCCTATAGGGCAGAGCCAGGAGAAATGGATGTAAGTTGCAAAGAGGCCAATTTAGACTTGGTGTGAAGAAAAACAACCCAACAATTGTTCTTAATTCATGTCTGTTTCTGTGTGGTTTTCTTCTCAAAGATAACAGAGTGGTTTACCATTTCCTTCTCCACTGTGTCCTCATTTTACAGATAAGGAACTGAGGCAAACAGGGTTAAGTAGCTTGGCCAGGGTCACACAGCTAGTAAGTGTCTGAAGCCAGATTTAAACTCAGATCTTCCTGACTCTAGACCTAGTGCCCAACCCACTGCACCACCTAGCTGCCCTAACAATTAGAGCTGTCCAGAAGTGGAATGGGTTGCCTTAAGAGACAATGGCCTTGGGGCACTAGGTGGCACAATGAATAGAGCACCTGCCCTGGATTGAGGAGGACCTGAGTTCAAATCTGGTCTCAGACACCTGACACTTACTAGCTGTGTGACTCTGGGCAAGTCACTTAACCCTGACTGCCTCACTAAAAAAAAAAGAGAGAGAGAGACAGAGAGAGACAGAGAGACAGAGAATGGCTTCTCTTTCCTTGGAAGTCTTCAGAGTTTCAGCCACCACTTGTCAGATATGTTAGTTAGAATTGCGGTATTTCTTCCATGTATGAATTAGACTAGATAGCCACCAAGGGCACTTCAAACTCTCAGATTCTGTGATTCTCATTCTATGATTCACTTTCTTATGGCAGATAGCTTTTAAAGGAATGTCCTCATTTTAGGAAGGTTCTTTAAGTCTCTGAAAGCACTCTGGTCTTAACAACCCAGTTACAAACCACACTTGGCAGGGAAGAAGCATATGCATATCTACATTTCAGAGGGTAACATTTGTGCCACACTGTTCACATGTGTTTCTACTTCCTCTACGCCAAACAGTGAACTGCTTTCTCCTTTGAATGAGAAGGAAAAGTCTGAAGACACAAGTTTTGGTCTGAAGTCAAGTTTGCTGGCCTATCGTTTGCAGGGTCTACTCTCTTCATAAAATCAGTATAGCATTTGCCCTTCTCTATTCTCACAGCAAGCCTCCCATTTTCTTTGGTCTTTCAGTACCCTGCAATGATAATAATAATAGGTAGCATGTGTGTGGAGATTTAAGTTTTTCAAAGCACTTTACAAATGATATCTCAGCTGATCTTCACAACAAGAGGGAGGTACTATTAATATCCCCATTTTACAGAAAGGCTGAGAACTATTAAGGGAATTGCCCAGGGTCACACAGCATA